CCTTTTCACTCCACGGCGTTTCAAAAAACGCCAAATGTTTATCGCGCAAAATACCATAACCAAGCAAACGCACTGGTATCATTTGCGGAAACATAAAATTGACACAATAAAACTCAAACAAATATAAGCATTCGAGTAACCGAGGAGAAGCTGACAAAAACTCGTCTCACGTTACCGTACGTATTGTTCGGCGCACAGCATATCAATTCAGATAACAATCTATGCAACTGAGACGGCCTCGTTTCGCGAGAATTTCTTTGCTTAGTATGACGAGCACGCCCGTCATAAAAAATGTCAGTGCAGCCAAACGCGACTACACCGACATCTCAGTAACAGTATGCATCACGTCGCACGGTGCGACAAAACTAACCCAACGACGCTCCTAAACTTCTCGTAAGGAACGGTCCATCCGATTAGTACATGCCGCAGCCTTGGCCACCCTGAGCGGCAGCAGCAGAAATTGCCTCTTCAATGGTGGTGTTCTTTGGCTCGCATCCTTGTAGTAAACACATTCACACAAACCAACCTTTTCAAACAGTTCAAAAAGGTTTTTGCAATACCAATCAAGCTTTTCTTTGGCAGGCAGCAAAGGTATTTCTAGATCTGTACTTTAAACCGAGAAAAGAAATTTTTTAATTATGTCTTCCTCAAAAGAAATCGCTTCTTGAAACATACTGATAACTTTTAAACTGTCTTGTTTAATTTGTCCACTCCAATTCGAACATCGATACAGCTCTCGAATAATCCCCCTAAAGTTTCTGGAGCTCTTAAGAAATCCTTCGTACAGTTCTTGAAAGCGTTTTTCCTTTCCAATCTGATATAATTCGCGAACTCCGGAGGCAATTTCAGCACGATTGAACGTCTTTGTCCCAAGAAGCATCGACTTCCTCAGTAGTTGCATCTTCAACGAAAAAAGTTTGTTTTTAAGATCGCTGTCAACTTCACAATTTGTTAAAAAAATTTTTGCTTTGTTAAGATAATCAAGAAGACGTAGAGTCGCACTTTTACCCGTGTAGTGCGGAATCCCCAAGTTGGTAACACCTTTTGCAGTTTCATCGCAATTGTCTCTCACATGATCTTCTAATTGCCTAGTGAATATGGTGACGACATTCTCATATTTCACAGCTTCGGAAAGTAAAGATCTTATTGATTCTGTCGATTCACTGATGAAGTAAGACCTACCCTTAGGTGACGAAGGTTTTAGATTAGAATGGCGAGCGGCCTGAAAGATATCAAAGTCTATGCCTTCATGCACGCCATGAGAATTCTTTTGTGAAGTAATCAATTTCCTTTCATCTTCATAGCCAATAATTGTTACCGCACTACACGCACCAAACTGTACTTCAGATAAAACTTTACTCATTATTACCTGTGCGTCGCATAAGAATAGAATAGGAACTGCATCATCAAGTTTCGACTTAATCTCTGCAAAACCGTCTAAACTAGCTTCTTCATAGTGTATAGATAGAAGCCTCATCACTTTTTCTTCCACATCTTCGTAAAAAGAAGCTAAAAACGGGTAGAAAGAACCTTTTAGAGGCACCTCACAAAAAAGAAATAATGGTTTCGGTACCAAAAGATACAGGAGGTCTGAGTTGACTGATAC